GTGATTTTCCCTTTTTTTTTTTTTTTATTTGATTTGGAAGAGGCAGCCGATTGGATTGGCGAGCAGATGAATCTCCGAGTACGAAGCGCGAAGCATGTAAATTTTTAAATTTTACGGCGGAATCCCGCGCCAACGGTGTACATATTGCTCGAATCATTCTCCGTTTTGAAGTAGAATCTTTTATTCGAATTTATTTTTATTGTTTGAACAAACTTTAATTTGACAAACAAAAATCTACCTTGAATTTTTGTGAGATTCACTCATATCTATATGGCCTTCTTTTCCGATAATTGCGATAAATTAAAGAAGATTCTTTTACTACAGTAATTTCTCATCGTACAAATGTTCCACTGTCGACTAGAAAGAAATAGATAAAGCTCGTCTCGATGGAGACGAAGTCATTATTATGTATTTTTAATATGTGATTACTCCGATACGTCAATAAATGCATATCCGGCGCTCATGATGGATTGTAATTCTATATTTATAGAATCACTTCAGGGACGAATTTTTAATTTCAATTGTAACAAAGAAATTTAATTTAATTTAATTTAATTTTTTACTTTGCGTCATGACAATTGAGATTTATTTTCTTAATTTAAGTTTGTTTTTATAACGATTTCGCGAATAGAAATAGCTTTTTAATAAGACATAAATTAGCTGTCCACATATGTTGCCAAGAGTGTAAAGAGGTTAAAGATATTCGATAATTCGCCAGCTCGAAATAAAAATATGGCGTTCTCGAACGTCCAAACAAATGAACTGACAATTCTTGGATTTAACACGACTCGATGTCAGAGAACTGATCATTTAAACTCATCCATTTAATTAAATTCTCTCCACTTTATTTTTGCCTCCCCATTAATTCAAATCACGAAAGATTTATCATATTACATATATGAGCCGCAGAGATTGGAGGAATCTGAATTTACTTATTCCCAGTTTGGAAAAGTTAACGTCCCTCTTCGACACGATGAGAACTGGCGTCCGGTTAATCGAGAAATTAGCGAAGTTAATTGAGGAGCCACGCCCGATCTGTCCTGTTAATTGCGTTAATACTATATCCTAATCTACCCAGACAGTCTCCTTTTTTTCTCTCCTTAATTTTTAACCATTCCCACCCACCGAGAGTTTCCCTCGAGCCCACGAACCTTCGCTAGCAATTTGCATATCTTCACTGAAGTTTCCTGCCCTAGAAATCTGAATCCGTTCTATTTTACCGGTCTGCTGAAATTTCACGAGTAAAAACCCCGGTCCTTCCTAACGAGCAAGAACGATTCATCTGGCCGATGGAAACGACAAACCGTTAGTCGGATCGTTTAGCAGGCGCGGTAGGTAGACAAATATTACGAACTGGCAAACAGGTGTGGCGCGCGCTATTAAAGGACAGTTCTCGTGTGCAAATATATACTCACGACGAGACACAGTCGGAGAATCGAGAAATGAAATTCGAAAGAAATCGAAACCGTAGAATCGGTGGGCGAAGTAATGTTGGTTTTTTTGATCATAAATGTTAAGAAAACGAGATCCAAGTGATTCGTACGTCATAACTTCATATAAATGTGTTATTATAATTATATGTAGGATAATTACAGGTAATTCTTGATCTCGTTGTATAGATTATTAAACGTCAGTTATCAGCTTTTTTTTTTAAGCGATATGTTACATCTTATTACTGTATTATATTGTATTAATCGTTCTTCCTGTTCGTTTTCTTTCGAACAAATGAAATAACTTGTGTGTATAACTGCGAATAGTCTCAAAAATGTTCTGCTTGTTAGTTAATCTTCAATATAACATTTTACCAACAGAATGTAATGACTTTCTCGGGATACTGTGTGTTGATATAATGTTGCTGCAGTTGAATTAAAATAACGCAAGAATAAAGTTGTACGATCATTTATAAAACTACTGCAGTGTGATGGTTCGATAAATAATATTTCTTACACGCTGGGAAAGTGTCGAATCATCAAGCTTCACCGTGAGCCGGTATTACTTTTTCACTGGACAATCTCAACAATTTTCGATCGAGGAAACGAAACAAATTGCAAGGATTGTTTATCGACGTCGTCTCTCGCAATTAGAGATCTTCGGGCAAGATTCTTGCGTTCTTTCTTGCCCTCGTCGCGTTCCTTCGTAATCATGTTCGGATGCAAGTTCCACGTCGATTGCCTTTAAACGACGATCGCTCTTAATGGAATCGTTTCGACTCAATCTCCTCTGTTTTCTGTTAAGTTTGATTGGCCTAAAAATTACAAATATTTTGGAGAGCTAGTAAAAAAAAATATATATCTGATTGACACGAGCTTTTGTAGTTTATTTCAACGCATTATGAACTATAAACAGCAACATTGAAAAGAAAATTATTTAACTTTTTAACGGCGTCCTTTTACACAACTTTTTTTTACATTGCCGGTGTGCATGATTTCAGCCAAACAGGATTAGCTGCAACAAAAAGGCAAAGGTATTCAAAAGTAAATAATATTCTCTAGGGATTGACGATCCAACATTTTCATTTTTGTGAAAATTATGAAAATAGCAGCTACTTGTTTTTGAAATGTATCGAATTTGTGTTAAAAATTTCTGCGTCTTTTGTTTATATTTTTCGAAATTGTTAAAAATTAAAAAAATGTTCGATCGTCAATAGTAAATGTTGTACTAAAGATACGTACCAAGTTTCACGGTAATCGGTTGATTAGATTCCGAGATATCTTGCACACCGTTTCTAAAAACCTAGTTTCGAGAGAAACGCGTTCAAAGTTTCAGAACGTCATTTTTCATCATGTCCTTTATTTACATTTTTTACTTGTATATCGCGGCTCACAGTTCTTACAATTCACAACTAAATTGAATCCAAGTTCCCTGATATTCGATTCGCCGAAAGTAATATTTGAATTACACGATTTGCACTTTAGAATACTGCTTAAAGTTGTAAACGATACAAATTCATTTATTCTCTATCTACCTCAAAATAAATCGTTTTTAAAGGCTAGGACTTTTTGTATTTTTTTCTAAGACTTCATTTAAAAAAAAAAAATCGATTTTTTGAAAACTTCAAACTGTCCTGTCCCCTTAATCAAGCAGAGTCATTAAGGTGATTTTCACACTTCCGGGTAAATAAACGTTGTCTCGTTATCCCGATAAAGAGGTCCAACAAGTCGTAAATCGTAACCACTCCGTGAGTCGTAAAACCTCATCGTATAAATCATGAGCGGCGCGATGCCCGAGTGCGCGATTCATGACGTATTCGTGTGCAATTAAAAATACTGGTGATGACCACGTTGACGACAGGATCGACTTCGCCACCCGGAACGCCATCCGATAAGACGGATAATGGAAAAGGTAACTCTGTCTCTCACGTGGGTTGTAATAACCCACGCGGCGAGTTGATCACGCGTGCTATCTAAAGGAACGTACCGTTGCTCGCCGGAATACTCGAACAGTTGCGAAAACATTCTATGAATACGTAAAATGTTGGGTGTTTTGCGCGGGACACGTTGAGAATTGCATTAGAAATCGTGTTAATTCTGACAAAGTTTGAATTTCACAGACGTGAAAGTATATGCAGGCGCGCAGTGTGGGTGTAGAAAGTATTCGTACGCTGAGATGAATTTCAAATGATTCTTTATTCCAATTGTCGTTCGTTGGGTAATTTTTATGAAACAGTGAATTATGTTTGGAGTATTGGCGTACAACACAATCGGATAAATCGGTCAGACAGGCAAATATCCATTATATTGACTAGACTGTAGATTTCTGTGCAGAACGTGCGAAAATAGAAACTTGATTCTCTCGTCACTTTAGAATGACATTTTAGCTAACCTTGCGTTATATGAAAATTAAATGATTATTAATAACAATAAAAAATATAAATATGATTGATGATACAGATGAAATTGAATAATATAAAATTCTAATTAGTTTTGTTGAATTTTTTATAATATTTAAAAATCAGTAATTAATAAAATTATTGAAAATTCATAAACAATTCATTTTATTATTTTATTTATTAGATAATAAATAATATATAATATATATTTAGTTTTAAAAATTAGTATTAATTTAATAATTATATAAAAATTTTTTAATTTATCGTCAAGGTATGAACCTAAAAACTTACATTTAGCTTATTATATAAAATATATTATTAATATATATTATTATAAAAAATATATTATTATATAAAAGGATTAATTTTTTAAATTAAAATATAATAATATAAATATTATTTTTAATGATTGGTCAGATTTAATTGCTATAATACGTATTAATTGCAAATCAATTGTTTAATTAATACATATTTCAAATATTTTTCTGCTCCAAACCTTCGACCACGTAGCCACGTTTCTATTCCCCCGTGCGTTCATAAAACGCATTAAGAAGAGCAGAAAAATATCACGCCGTCTCCAACTTATTGCACGATCCCCTCTCGGACACTCCCCGCCGCACGGTTCAAGGAAACCCTGTCCTAACCTTCCACTTCCTTCCCACCGTCGGCGTATCTGCCAAACGCAAACATTTCGTCGATTATGCTCGATCGATGTAGCCGACGAACCACGCAACGAGAGATAAGATACACCGAGGAAGATTCCTTCCGTCCTTCACCCTCGGACAAAAGTAAGCACTGCTGCCCTGTCGTGCTTCCAGACAGATCGGAAGGGGATGAAACAGATCGTGACGGGCGATATCCGGTTTTCTCTTTTTTTTTTTTCTTTCACACACACTCTCTCCTTCGATTGTGCTCGAACACACCCTGGAGGAGGAACAGGAGAAGGGGGTAGGTAGGGCTACTTACATTTTATCGGCTGCAATAACCGCGGCGTGAAGTATCGGGCTGTAAGGCGACAATTGGAGCAAGAGAGACGGGGCGAGATCGGAGCTTTCGGTGCAACGAGCCGTGAGATCGGCGACGCTCGGCGATGCTCGGACGCCCTCGGCTCGCCGCTTGGCGAAATGCGTTAAGGGTGTGAGAGAATCGGTGGCTCAGTCTGTCACCGTGCGTTTCGCCCAGCGTAGTGGCCCGGTCGCCGCTCCGAGCAACCGATCTCGCGTGCAACGCCGATCGCGACACCTTTCCCTCTCGTCGCGTGTGTGTCGTTACGTCAGCTCGTTCTTGGTGTATCTTTTGGTGCGTGAGTGAAGTATCTCTCGCGAGAATTGGAGAACCGTGCAAAGTGGCGATCGGTAGGGTGGTTATCAGCCGATTGATTGTTCATATTCGGGAAAAGGAGTAATTTGTAGAAAGTAAATACTACGTATGCAACTGTTTTGTTGTAGCGTGTGACGTTTGGTCGATATCAGGTTAATTTAGTTGAATCTGATCGATCGAGAGCAGATTGATAAAGATCGTTTGGATAATCTGCAACGGATCTGTGCGAGAAGTGGATTTACATTGAATCGAATTGAAAGGTGGTTTAAGCAATCTGTGGCAACTGCATAGATTGTCACATTGTACACATTGACCTGTAATCATTTGCGATACATTTGATACGTATTGTACATTTTATCAAAGCAAATGGTTTGGACAATTGTTAGATTATCATCTAGATATTGTTACAACGCTGTTTTTGTTAAAATAGCAACTAATTTTATATTGAAATATTATTTTATAATAATACATTGCAACACAACTTTGTGACAACATGTCAAATACATTAAAAAATAATTTTATGTTAAAGTAGATAATTCTACTTTTGATACAAATCTAGATATTAACATCCACCGTTTAAATCTATATCGTTGCTATCTGCAGCAACTAGATTTCCCAAATTGTCCTCATTTACTAGATGTAAATGTTGCTAAAATAGATCATGTGATCATTTGCGATACATTTGATACGTATTATACATTTTATCAAAGCAAATGGTTTGGACAATTATTAGATTATCATCTAGATCGTTACAATATTGCAACACAATTTTATGAGAATATATCAAATACATTAAAAGATAATTTTATGTTAAAGTAGTATAATTCTACTTTTGATACAAATCTAGATATTGACATCCACCGTTTAAATCTATATCGTTGCTATCTGCAGCAACTAGATTTCCCAAATTGTCCTCATTTACTAGATGTAAATGTTGCTAAAATAGATCATGTGATCATTTGCGATACATTTGATACGTATTATACATTTTATCAAAGCAAATGGTTTGGACAATTATTAGATTATCATCTAGATCGTTACAATATTGCAACACAATTTTATGAGAATATATCAAATACATTAAGAGATAATTTTATGTTAAAGTAGATAATTCTACTTTTGATGCAGATCTAGATATTAACATCCACCGTTTAAATCTATATTGTTGCTATCTGCAGCAACTAGATTTCCCAAATTGTCCTCATTTACTAGATGTAAATGTTGCTAAAATATAACGAACCTACTATTAGATTTTGTTCTCATTTTTCACATAGATGGGCAACGATCGTGCACGCGATTCGCGAGCCTGGCGCAGGCCAGGTCTTCGTTTATGTAGGACGCAGCAAAGACGGGCCGACCCCGTAAGGACAATCGATGCAAAAGCAATTACGCCGGTAACGTGAATTGCATTGCGGTATATTTCGCGTTATCATTCGTGCGTCGTGCATTTTGTCTCGATAGTTGCTTTCTAGACTTCGTCCCCGTTCTCATCCCCCGATATTTATATTCTTTCCTCGATATATCGCGTAATGGGAAAGGAAAATTGTCTTTCGTCGATATCGAGGCAAAGCTGCTTTCTGATTCATTTCATTTTTTTTTTTTTTTTTTTTTTTTTTTTTTTTTTTTCTTTTCCCCCCGAGTCGGACGCAATTTACTTGGTGTCGTTGCTTTCAACTCGATGCAGTTTCGATGTTATCCATACGACCAGTGATCGATGCTTCATATCGTTCGTTTGTTGTATCGTGTTGCAAGCTATTAGCACGGTCGTGCCAGCGAGCGTGAAATATGAGTTGGGGCCTCTCTTCTAATTCCTCTCTCTAGATTTTTCATTACACAAGGATGAGAACTGAAATTGGAAATAATAACGCAACGTTCAGGCGCTCGAGTTTGTCATAACAAGCAGGTCTTTTTATCCCGGGCAGAGTCCCGTTTTCCCTCGTGGATTTTTAAAAAAGAACCAAGCAGTCACTGGCGCGACTGGTAAGAAATTGCTCTCTCTCTCTCTCTCTGCGCAGAAAGAAATAAAGAATGAAGTTTATCCAAAAGTGTTCTCTGAAAAATCAAAGCTTAAAAGCTGCTTCTTCCGCCAATTCCTGATGCAGTAACTTCCTCTCGGTCGTCTGTTCCTGTTTCAATCAAAAATTGAGCCAACAGGTGCAGGCGCTTGACGAATTTTTCGAGAAAGTAATTACACGGTTCGTTCAGTTGATTCAAGAATTACACAATGTTTTAATTGACAAATTTGATTTGTTTTCGAGAACGAACGATACGTTACCGCATAGAATCATCGCATCGTCGGTTACAGTATGATCACTGGATCACCTTGTACAGACGATGAAGCACGAACGTTTCATTAATCCAACGGATCATTTACCATCGTGATGATTGCACTGCTATACTCAAGTTCGCGTTTTATCCTGCCCGGTGTCCCATGTAAATTCGTCACGTGGCCAGTTCATTGATTTAATTAGAGGATACGACAGCGAGCCGTTAACGACGTACCTTGGCTAATGAAAACCAGGTCATTATTCACCGATCGCCGGCTCACCTTAACGGCTGACAATTTACATTAGCTAATGGACCGATTTACGGCCGGAGCGCGGAGACGTATATCGATGCACACAGTTCGCGCCGCGAAATCGATGTGAATCGCGTGAATTTCGAGGACGTGTCGCCGTTTGATATCGATTGGCTGGAAACGAACGTGGGCCGTGGTACGACGGTAAATCATGCGCTAACGAGATATCCACGAGAGAGAGAACGACCGAAAAAAAAGCTCTCTTCTCCTCGCGCGATCGAGGAAAGGCTAACTTTTTCAGACTTTCAGCCCTGTCTCGTCGATCGAGACGGGATCGGCCATTAATTCAAAATAATGGCATTCTCGATACGACATTTATTGACTAGATTCTGTTCGTAATTTTGCACAATGTGTATAATAATATTGTACGATTATCTACAATATATAAATATAGATGATTTATGTTTTTGTATACAGGGTGTTTCGTAACTTATGGGACCCACTTCGGGAGTTGATTGTACGGTCCTAAAAATGGTAAAAAAAAAAGTCCTATCTGTTCTATCTGCCCGTTTATGAGATATAATGAATTTTGTAAACAGAGCAAATTCTAGTAAACTAGTTTTACCAGGGATAGTATATGCAATTTTCATAATAATCATAATTGGAATGAAGAAATCCCACATGTTATTGTGCATTCAAGACATCAACGCCAGTTTAGTTTAAACGTATGGGCAGGAATAATTGATAAATTTTTAATTGGACCTTTTTCTCTTGATGGGAAACTAACAGGCACAAA